TCTCGCGGGCCGAGACAGCAAACACTGTCTCGCCCGCCGAGACAGCAAACCGCCCCCCCCCAGCCGAGACAGCAAATGCTGTCTCGCGAGCATATTTCCTCTAACTGTTCCTGGAGGCTATAAATACCCGCTGAGATCGATTTTTGAGGAGGGCTGATCATTTTTGAGCATTTTGGAGCAGACAGAGCAGAGTTCCTGAGCTTCTGACAATTCCTTGAGATTCGAGCTTTGACTTGATCTTGAGAAGAGTGATCGTCTTACTTTGATAAGATATTCACTTCAAATTCCTACTTCGATAAACAAAGGAAGAATCACTTAACCCCTCACGATTCAATCAGAATCTGTGATTTGGTGGTCCACGAGTCAAAGCGCTCCCAGCACAGGCAAAGATCCCACGCAAGCAGCGATCCAAACAACGATCATGCGTTTGTTTCTAAAAAGTTATAATTTTCATTTTGTTGTGTAAAAGAAGTCTTATAAAAAGGCTATTTCTTTTGAATTTGTTGTAATCGACCGAAGATATAATGAATTCCACAACGAGATCAACTTTTGACGCAAACATCTACTTGCGCGTGATCTTTGCCTGTGTTAGGATACTTTGATCCGTGGACCAATGATTCAACGATCAAAGTTGATTGTGAAGAAGGTTTGATGTTAATGTTTCGACTTAGAAATAAGAACAGAAGTAAATATCTTAGCAACATAAGATAAATACTCTTCTCAAAATCAAATTTAAGTTTGAAATTGAGGAAACACCAAAGACTTTAAGATTGCTTGGAGATGGTGAAAGTCTTTCTCTCTCGTGCTCACAATTTGCCAAGATGCGAAGTCCTTACCCTCAAATCTGGTTGGTCTCGTGCATAAGGGTGCCAAAAGGGTATTTATAGCCTTTGGGAGCCGTAACCGTCGAAAAGGAGTTGAAACAACCTATGAACATCAACTCCTTTGGGTGAGACAATATTTACTGTCTCGGCCAAAGGAGATCAGTTAGTTTGTAACTATCACCCACTTTGTTAAATACTGTGATTTCTGTGATTTTCGTGGGATATGGGCTTATCTTCAGGGTGTAACTATCTCTTCGTATTTATGGATGCTCCAAAATAGTTAAAGAGTCGTGTGGACCCCCTGAAAAATCACAAAACAGTCAGAAAATCCTAGAAGCTGTCTCGCAATGGGCGAGACAGCTTTTACTGTCTCGGCTTCTGAGACAACAATCACTGTCTCGGATGCGAGATAATAAATGTTGTCTCATCAATTGTGAGACAGTTCTGACCCCTTTGTCACGTTATTTTGTGTTCTTCTTTGCTTCTTGTTATATCGAATGATCTCCTTTGACTTAGATAATAACGTTCTTCGTCTTCTCTTCGTCTTGAGCTGTATTTGGTACCTATAGGTAATTTTTAACGCCTACAATAGTTTGTAGCCGAACTCATCCTCTCCATAACCAAGGAAGATGCAAGGAACCACTCTATCATCAAGTTTCTGTCTCTTCTCCTTTAGAATATGTGCAAACGCCTTGTAACCAAACACCTTCAGATGAGAATAGAAAATATTTTTTCTAGACCGAACTCTCTCTGGAATATCAAAACACAAAGGAACTGAAGGAGGCCTATTGATTATGTAGCATGTAGTGTGAACAACTTCAGCCCAAAAGCTCTTAGGTAACTTCGTCGTCTTCAATATGCATCTGACTTTCTCCACAATGGTCCTGTTATACCTCCCTGTAACTCCATTATGTTGCGGTGTGCCGGGCTCTATCCTCTGATGCCGAATACTATGCTTGGAGCAATAATATCTAAACTCAATGAAAGTATACTTTTCTCTATTATCGGTGCGTAACACTTCAACTTCTTTCTTGTCTGCCTCTCCACCATAGCATGAAACTATTGGAAGATTGAAAACACCTAGACTTTTGTCCTCAATAAGAAGACACATATCCTCCGTGATGCATCACCAGTAAATGTGACAAAATACTTATTACCACCCAAGGACTCCACCTCAATAGGACCACAAACATCAGAATACATTAAATCCAGGATATTATCTTTTCTTTTAGAAGGCTTACTAAAAGAATCTTTATGTTGTTTGCCAAACAAACAATAATCACAAGTGGTGAGTGACGAACCTTTGACAAAGAGAATGTGAGACTTCTTTGCCAATATCTACAACCCCTTCTAGCTCATGTGCTCGAGCCTCCTATGCCATAAACTGAGAGTGTCACCGTCTTGAGCCACACTCAAAGAATCATATGAAGCCTTTACTTGAGTCTTATAAAAATTGTAACATATACTTCCTCTAGTCACCACAAGGAAGCCTTTGGTGATTTTATATTTTTCTTCACCAAATTGAGTTTCATATCCCATTCGGTCCAAAGTAAGACCCAAAATTAAGTTGAGCCGCAAATTGAGAACATGCGTTCAGTAAGACCAATGTGCATCCGGTATCTGTTGGCAAGTGTATATCATAAGTCCCACAATCTTCGAGTAGCTGATATTACCCATCTTCACATTGCCAAAAACCACCTACTTTATACGACGTGAAAAGGTCTCGATTGAAGGTAACATGACGTGTAGCTCCTGTATCCACTATCCACTCAGAATTCTGACTTGTAACATGCATACAACCTTCTTCCTAGCAAATAAGAATAACACTGGTCTCAAACAAAGTAGTTATAGTGTCACTGTCAGCTTTCTTCTTCTCATCTTTTTTTTCATCTTTGTTCCCAGCTTGCTCTTTCTTTAATACCTAATAATTCTTCTTGATATGACCTGGCTTCCCACAATAAAAACAACCTCTCCTTTTAGACTTTGATCTGCCCTTGGATGTGCCACGACCTTTGGACTGTTCCCTATACCTGCTCCTACCTCTGTTCTCCTAACAAGTGCATGTGAGTTATCTGTACCGGTAGACTTCCTTCGAGTCTCCTCATTGAATAAACTACTTGTAACCATACTCATCGATAACACACCATCTGGAACTGTGTCGTTGATTGTCACAACCGGTGTCTCCTAACTGTCTGATAAAGAACCCAATAATAATAAAGTCTATAGTTCATCATCGATAGTTATCTTCATGGTAGCTAACTGATTAATCAAACTCTTGAACTCATTCAAGTACCCTGCTATGTTGCTTCCTTCTTTGAATTACAAGTTCACCAACTGCCTCATAATAAACGCCTTGTTTTTCGCGATCTTCTTCTTGTAGAGATCCTCAAGCTTCTTCCAAAGAGACTTCACATTAGTCTCACCCGATACATGATGAAACACACTAACGTCAATCCACATCCGAATATAACCGATCGCCCTCCTGCATTGTTTTTCCCATTCTTTATCAGTCATCTTTTCTGGCTTGGCTTCATCTCCCTCAATAGGGTCATGTAAATCTTTACAATACAGAATATCTTCCATCTTGAACTTCCATACTTGCCAATTGGAGTCATCCAATTTCATCATTGTCCCAAAACTCTTCATCTTTTCCATCCCAAAGTACGTCTCAAATCAGGGCTCTGACACCACTTGTTAAGGATTTTATGGAGATTAATCTGCAGAATTAAATACTAATTAAACGAATAACAACACCAATGAAAATATCACAGGCAAGCAAACACCAAGATTTAACGTGGTTCGGTAAATCGTGTTTACGTCCATGAGGAAATCTAGAGAGAAATATTTCACTATGAATCAGGAGTACAATCCCTCCAAGTTACACCTGAACTTAAGGATTAAATTACAAGAAAAAGATACAGTGTTACCTCTAGGGCACTATTTGCGGTGAAAGTTGTTGTCTTCATTGCTATCGAATTTATTACAACTTTAGTCGTTACAATAAACTCGAATAAAATAAAAAGTTGATCTTTTTATAAGATCTCCTTACACAATGAAAATAAAACAAGTTTACAACTTTGTCAAACAAACGCAGGGAGATCGTTTATCGATCTTCTGCTTGCGTGGGTGTCTTTGCCTATGCCGGGGTTTATCCGTGGACCACCGTAGATCAGATCTGATTGCTGAAAAATTAGGCAGAGCTTCGTCTATCCGCGAAGGGATCGATAAACCGTAGCTCTTATCTCGGCGAAGCGAGATAATCACTCTTCTTAAGATTACCACAACGGGATAATCTTAAGGAACGGATCCGGGAAACTGTAGATCTGACGAATCTCTCTCTCTCTTACGTTGAAGAACTCGATCCGATCTATCCTCCTCCTCTCTGAAATTCGTGCACCTTCAGTCTTCAATCCGGCAGGGCTTCGCCTAATCTCCAAAATTCCAGATCTCAAAAAAATGAGGACCCGGGGCTGTATTTATAGGCTCCAGGGGGTTTTGGGCGGTTAAAACAGCCTAAAAGACCATTTCTGCGTTGGAGACACCCCAGGGTGTCTCAAACTGGGCCGAGACACCCTAGGGTTCAGGTCAAATGAACCCGTTCTACCCGCCAAGTGACTAAGCTATCGCTACAACAAGCATCGGGACCTTCCTCCCAACCTCTAATTAACAAATGGGTTCAGGTCAAACGAACCCGTTCTACCCGCGAGGAGCATGTCCAGAAGCGCCGTGCACTTATTACGCACGCCCAGATCCTTGTGCGAGAGGCACGAGAATTGTGACGGGAAAAGGTGATCAAGAAATCACCAAGATCTAAGCAGGTTTGGGTGCCGAAGGCTAAGTCAGCGCCCCTACCCGATAAAAGACATCAGTTGTGTCTCTCGGTTGAGTCCAGATCCAAAGCTGGTTCCCAGCTTTCGTCAAGTTCAGATCTCGTTCCTTTTAATCCCGTACCTCCGGTGAAGCTCCGCAACAATATGGACATATCCAGAGGCAGGAAAGTGATAGCGGAAGGCCTAGGTCTTTTGCACAAGGATCAGGGCAAAGCACCTATTAAAGAACGCTTAGGACCATTGAAGCAACCCCAAGCAAACATCCGGACTAGGGCTCGTACGCAACCTCCTAACAAATTGATTTGAACAACAGCCCGCTTGGCGGTGCGTGCAGAAAACCAGGAGCCCGTTAAGGTTTCACCCTCACAAGGGTGTGATTCCAAACGTGTGACTCCTGTAGATGCCAACAAGGCAATGTTTACTCAGAGGAAAACGCGTCAGACAGACGAACGCGTTATACCTGAGAATCTATGTAAACAGCCGATGGGTTACTCTGACCACAACGTCGATGAGTTGTACTATCGGGCTGGGGGTACGAATAAATCTCGAAAGAGAAGTACCCGGGAAGCGGACTCTTACTGTCCGTGTATCAAAATTATCAGGGCAGTATTATCAGCGTGTAGCTGCCCCAAGACCGCTCCGCAGAGGGTCTCGGTATTCGAGAGGATCTTCGATAGAACGACGAAGCTCAAGTCAAGGCGTTTCCACCAAAGAGGATCGGTTGTTCGAGATGATGAATTCCTAGAAGTTACCATCAATATGGTCAATAAGGGAAAATCTCCGATTGTTTCAAGTGGTTCTAACCCTAATTTCTCTCCAGGAAGAAGAGTCGGTTTGGGAATAACCCAATGAATATCTCAGCTTCAGCTAGAAGCCGTTGTACATAATGATTACCAGGGCGTTCGTGAAGGAATCCATTCCGATGACGAACTCTCTGATTCTTATTCCGCGATCGCCTCTGACGATACGACGTCTAGCATAGGACAAGCTCGGGAGGTGTTCATGATCAACACCGAGCAAATAGCCAAAATCATTGAGGATACTCTAGCCAAGTAGAAAGAAGCATTCAAAATCGAAATGGAAATGGCTATGCAGGAGATGAGACAAATGCACGACCAACAAATTCGAACTTTGTCAAATCAGCTAGGTGAATCCAGCCGTCGCAGCACTGCTAACCAAGCGGGTAGCGATTCAGATGTGGATGAACACGATGCTGGGGGTGGCCCCACTAAAAATAACGGTAGCCACATTATTCCTCTCGAAAATTGTCCAAAACAGGATATAGATGAGGCCGAAAAGATGAAGGATCTCGAAAGCAAAATTGATGCCCTGATGTCTGCTCGAGAGGTGAAGAAGACCGGGATTCCGTGTCCTTACCCAAGAGAATGGGAATCGATTCCGTATCCGGCGAAGTTCAACCTGATCAACTTTACACCGTTCGACAGGAAGGATTCCCCCACGCAGCACCTGATCTATTTCAAGTCCCATTTAGGAGTGATCTCTGGCAACGAGCCTCTGATGGTCCGGTCATTCGTTGACACCCTTCGCGGGCCCGCCTTCGATTGGTACCGCCGTCTCAAGCCCAGAAACATTAACAGCTGGGAGGACCTGGAGAGCATGTTCCTCGCTCATTTTTTCAATGATGACGCCGAAGTGTCGATCAGGACACTCTTTGATGAGAAACAAAAAGACGGAGAGTCGGTGGATACCTTCATCAAACGCTTTCGCAATCAGGCTATGAACTGCAAGGATCCCGTCACGGAGGAATTCGTCTTACAAACCTGTTATAACAACTTGTCCATTAATATCTTGGACGTTATGGGAGTAGAGCCGCTCAGTACCTGGAAAGAGTTGAAGGTGCGCGGAGAACAGGCCGAACGCTTCCTCAGAAGGAGGAAGGCCGAAAGAAACCAACCGATGGTTAACCCTCTGAATTCAGGTCTCGTGTCTCATGATGAAGGGATAGTACCTACAACAGTTGTTGATGTTAATCAGACGTCGCAACAGCAACCCCGAAGACAACAGAAGACTTCGGATCCGAGACTCCAAAAAGAGTACTCATTCAAGGACGAAGACGTTCCAGCCATCTTCGAGACCCTTCTTGAAAACAACAAGATCAAGCTGCCACCCGTCACAAATCAGGAGGAAGCTGACAGTACTACGGATCCGAAGTACTGCGCGTACCACAGGAGGGTCCTTCATCCCACCAAGGCTTGCTTTACTTTAAAGAATAGCATTCAGACCTTGGTTGAAGCCGGTGTCATAACGCTAGGATAAGCCAAATAAGAACGGCAACACTCCGAAGAGTATACGAGTATAAACTGCTTCTCAATCCTCCAATCGATATATGAGGTTAAACTGCTCCCTGATACTCCAATAGGTATATGAGTCTAAACTGTTTCCTACTGTTAATGGGAAGTTCCTGGAGAATGTTACGCTAATATTCTTAAGGATAACCCGGTCATGTAACGGAGTACAAAGTCAGACCCAGTTCCAAGAAGGAAGCTGGGGGTGGATGATTCATGTAATGGGAAGTTCCCAGAAGAATGCTATATGTAATTTTCTTAGGGATAACCCAATAATTACGAACAAAATGATAAGCACTAAACCTCCACTGTGATTTGTATTCCCACTCTCACTGTCTACCTGGTCAAACCTTCCTATAGTTAGGGCCACAACCAAAGTCCCGTCTCGATTCCTTCCATGAACGAGAGGTCCACTTTCAAAAATTGAGCAATCAAACCTATAAAAGTTAGGATTGTTCCCAATCTCACTTAGTCAAACCTGTTTCGATAAACGAAAGTTTGCCTTTGTTCCTTTTTCCACCAAACCTATAAAAGTTAGGGTCGAAATTGGACTTTCTCCTCAATAAATGAGGGACTCTTTTTGGATCAAACAACCAATTTTATAAAAGTTAGGGTCGTTTGAATCTTTCCGATTCTCGGAGTGGAGATCCCACTCTTAGTTTCATCTTTCTAGATTCTGGGGGCGGAGATCCCACTTCGAGTTTTCTTTCCAACTAAAGATAGAATATAAAATTCTTCCTCTTCGGTGCCGGGAGATAGAATATAAAATTCTTCCTCTTTCATTTTGGGTTCGTCTTTACCCTGAGAAAAGACACAATTTTCAACTTTAAATCTGTACGTTCCATGCACGGGGAATTTTATCTCAACTCCTAAATAGAGATAAGCCTACGCCTAACACGCGTTGCCGGTTTAGTCTTTCACCGATTGAAAAAGATACCAGAGTATAATTCTGGGGACTTTCATCCCGAATCCTAAGTAAGGATGAGTCAACGCCTAATACGCGTTGCCGGATGCCATATTCCCGTAAGAAATGGTGAAGTCTATGTATTCAAAATCATAGCACTAAGTCTAAGAGAAGCAATTCTCTTGGCACAACGTTACATGTGAAACAGGTTTTAATAATTCACATGCTAGCCCGATTTAAACGGTAATCGGTAAAGGCACGTCAAACCCGTTAATGGCTGGGGGTTTGCCAAAAATCCCAAAGTCTATGTCTAACACGCATTGCCGGTTAGTCTTTGACCGTAAAAAGGACAAAAGCCCACATATTCAATATTATGGCAGGTTGTTATTAATAACGCCAAAATCCGTGCTTCACACGCACGGGGAAGTTTATCCCGAAGCCTAAGCAGGGATAAGTCAACGCCTAACACGCGTTGCCGGTTTAGTCTTTTACCGATTGAAGAAGACACCAGAATCCGAGTCTGGGGACTTTTATCCTGAATCCTAAGTAAGGATAAGTTAGCGCCTAACACGCGTTACCGGGTAGCCTGTTCCCGTAACAATGGCGAAGTCTACGAATTCGAAGTCGTAGCATCAAGTCTAAGGGAGTTCATTCCTTTAGCACAACGTCACAGTCGGAACGGATGTAAACAATCCGCTTGCTAGCCCGACTCAAACGGTAGTCGGTAAAGGCTCATCAAACCCGTTGATGGCTCGAGAATTTGCCAAAATTTCTATAAATGGCGGTCATTGATGCATCGCAGCTCGCGTTAGTATGGTCTCGTGACTCGATTTATCCAAGCAACATTAAGAATATAGATCCACAAATGCAGATGAATCAGCTTAACAGTTGGTCCTGCAGCGTCGCGACACTTGGGACCCGCTGTGCTCAATACCGTATAACGAGGCTTAACTGTGTATACTCCAGTAAACGTACGAGTATATAAACTGTGTCAACGTCGGGTGGTCTGAAACCAAAGTCAACACCGAGCCAATCTGTAACCTAGGTCAACGCGATCAACGCGTAATTCTAGCGTAACGTCAGTCAACGCGTCTTCGATCAAAAGTCAACGTTCCACGTTTCAAACCCTAAGGTCAACGCCGGTCACGCGTAACCCTACGTCAACGCCGCAGTGCATCGCGTTCGATCAAAAAGTCAACTCAATGACATGAGGCCAAACTCAATCATCGTTGTAGATTTGAGACTCGACGACGGCCAGACGATAACGCGAGCCGCCGGAAGGATTTCAGCTATTCATCAAAGCGATCGAGTAGACTGAAAATCGAAGGAGTCAAGAATGCGAAGCTACGCTACAGGTCCTTTACGCCGACTGAAGGTGGACCAATCACATCCAAAGTATTCCAGCTCTTCTACAAAAGAAACGAGTCTGGAATGCTTTGGAGGGGGTATCTGTAGGCATCGAAAATTGCCTATAGGTCTCCACGAACAGCTCAGTGTTAAGAAATGACGCATGAATCGTCACCATCGGGTTCACAGAAGCGTGATTAATGTCGGTGATCGCTTGAAGTAAACCGACGAACTACGTGAAACAACGGAACTTCGGAATAATGAAGATACGAACTGATCGGGAACCTCGTATTGTTCACAAACGGCGAAATACCCTTCGTGTCTCATTTGTTCAACTGATGATATAATCATTGGAGCTTATAGAAATCTTCGTCAGCTTTCCAACGCACTTGGAATCACTCAAATCCGAGTTCGGACGAAGAATTTACGGCGGAAACAATCAAACAGGCATAACGGAGCGTCTCAGGCTGAACTGGGGCACCCGAGGTGTCTCGGCACGGGCGAGACACCCTAGGGTGTCTCGGCCCAGTTTGAGACACCCTGGGGTGTCTCCAATTACTTCAAGCGATCACCGACATTAATCAAGCTTCTGTGAACCCGATGGTGACGTTCATCGTCATTTCTTAACACTGAGCTGTTCGTGGAGACCTATAGGCAATTTTCGATGCCTACAGATACCAAAATCCTAAAACCCGTGTCACCGAAAATCTCCAACACTCACGGAGAAACCAACACCGTACCATCGACAGCATTGTCGTTTTGAAGACAACAGCTTTTGAATCACTGCACTCGGACAACCGAGCTATCCGAAATCTGAACTTCTCTCTCTCTCTCTCTCTTTTTCTCTCTCTACCCCCTCTTTTCTTCTCTTGGGTTACTATTCATGGTTTACTGTAGCACAAAAAAATTTATAACTTTCTCATGAATAGAATTCCTTTATAAAATTTTTTTATTTTCAAGTCCTCCAAACCTATTCCTATACAACTAGATCCTCCAAATCCTCTTCTAAATAGAATTTTAATTTATGTGGACCTCATGTGGGCTTATCTTAGGCTGGACCCACAACAGCTAACACATAACCAACCACTGGAAAAAATATAAACAGTGAACACCCATATACATATACAAAAAATCTTATACTCATTCAAGAATAATTATCAATCAGCAATTGTCACAACATGATATGGATATTGCTTAAATCATGATCATTAGGGATCAACACAAGAGAAGGTTCCAATAAATACGCTTCTACAATATATACAAAGAAACAAAAAGAGAGGCCAAAGCCACGAAAAACCAAGGAAATAACAGACAAATATAGCATCTCCTCATTCACATTTGCCTTCCTTCTCCATATCCTACCAAGAATACTATAAATGCAAATATTAAAGAGCCATTGTTGTAGAAATCAGCAATGACTTCTTTTATTTCGACTAAATCCTTATCGATACAGACCGATATTATCAGATGCAAGGCAAAGATCTCTTCTAGTCCACACACTCTTAAGATTGATAATCCACTGACGAAACTTTCGAAGAGTGGGGGAGTTTTACTTTCAGACTTGCGAGTAAATGAGATAGTCACGAGGCAGTCTAGGCTCTGGCCTGAAGATGAGAGGAAGGATAAGAGGATGAAGATGAGCGATGAATTGCTCGAAGATGCATATGAGAGGTGTCGATGTGTTTGTGAAGAGTATGCCAAGACTTTCTATTTAGGGACATGGTTGATGACTGAGGAGCGACGAAAGGCGATATGGGCTATTTATGGTGAGTGCTGATATTTCTTCATAGAGTGTGTTACTTGTTTATTATACATACATTCTGAACAATCATTGATGAGATGGAAAAAATAATATCGGTCTAAAATGAAGTGGCATGACATGTGTCATGGTGCGATTGGCTGTCACGCGATTTTGGCAGTCATTTTTCTGAATGGGGGATCTAGTAGATTATGTACCTTTCTTATAACAATTATTTATTTATTTATTAATTTTCGTTCATTGCAATCTTGAGACATGCCTAGTGATTAATAATATGATTAGTAGCTTTGTTTGTTCTTAACAGTGAAGTCCCTTGTCCTATGAAATGTTCCTTTTTTGAGTTACCCCTGTTCGGTCTACGTAATGTATTTGGTTGAATTTTTAGTGGCCTGATGTTTTGACATAATTTATTACTGGCCTGTCTATAAATCATCATCATCTTTGTTTACATGGATGTCATTCATAAACTTGGGGTTGACGTACTTTTGGGTTGTTCAATAATTTCTATTTCGGCCAGGCACCAGCAAATTATTTGAATCCATGCCATGATATAAAACTTCAATTCATCAGATATCAGAATATTTACACAATATTATCGACAAAACCAAAACTTCATTGGAGCATAAATAGATGAAATCATGCACAACTAAAAGAGCCATTTATCTCAAATGGAAAAGCTATAAATCAGAAGAAATTACACAAAAAGAGCAGTTTGGTGCAGGAGAACAGATGAGCTAGTTGATGGTCCGAATGCAACACATACTAATGAAGTTGTGCTCGATCGATGGGAACAAAGGCTCGAAGATATTTTTCAAGTCCGCCCTTATGACATGCTCGATGCTACCCTCACTGATACTGTATACAAATTCCCTATCGATATAATGGTAAGATTATGTACTACAACCAAGTATGTAAAATATTTGAATCTATAATGTTATATTGTTGATATAGATGTAGTTTTATTTCATGCAGCCATTTAGGGACATGATAGAGGGAATGAGAATGGACATGAGGAAATTGAGGTATCAAAACTTTAAAGAGCTCTATCTCTATTGCTACTATGTAGCTGGCACAGTAGGCCTTATGAGTGTGCCTGTTATGGGAATAGCTCCTGAATCTTATGGTTCGGTAAACGAGATATATAATGCGGCGCTCAACCTTGGGATTGGCAATCAACTTACCAACATTCTTCGAGATGTAGTCGAGGAGTAAGTTCATATTAGGATGCATATATAGGTTCAAAGTTTGATTGCACATAGATCCCCAGGTTGCAGATAGACCTCTAGGTAATTTTTTTTAATTAATCTTTTTTACTCTGGGTGAAATTTAGGCAGATATCACCCATGGACGAAATTAGTTAGTCTGTCTGAGGGTAAAAGAGTGAAAAAATAAATAACTCACGAGATCTATCTGCAACAACGAAACTATAAGGGTTGTACGTTTAGAATAATGGTACTAAGGGGGGGTTCTATGTGCAGTTTAGCATAGGTTTGACCTTCATATCCTTTGGTATGACTGCATTGTAGCTTGATCAGACAGTATTTTTAATAGTGCTCACAGAGGGAGAATATATCTGCCACAAGATGAATTGGCAGAATTTGGGATATCAGAAGAAGATGTTTTCTCTAGGAGAGTTACAGATAGATGGAGAGCTTTTATGAAGGAGCAAATCACAAGGGCAAGACTCTATTTTGATCAAGCAGAAGAAGGAGCATCAAGACTCAATGAAGCTAGCCGCTGGCCGGTAATCATCATGTTTTTTTTGTCATTTATTTCTGGTTCTAATTTATATGTTGAATACAATGCATTTTTATTTCAATTCAAGTATTATGAAAGATCATGTTATACATGAACTCTAACTTGAGTATTTAATTTATACTATAGTTCATAGAAGCTAAAAGGAGACATGTTTTGTGAACGTGCACTCTGTAGGCGTCAAAATTTGCCTACGAGTTCCCGTACGCCCTCGAGGCGAAATACAGACAATAAGCGTCATCATCCAAGTCAGGAAAGGATTATCTGGCCCCATGAAAGATAACGAATATATAAAGTGAGTCATTGGAGTGTACAAGTCAACGGAATGACGAAATGCGCAATACAAGTTCGGAGAAGTCACAAAGTGTCGAACACCTCAAAGTGGCCCGTAAAAGTAAGAGGCATTTAGACCATGATATGATTTGAATCTAAAAAAGTTCAAAACATGAAAGTTGTAGGTCTCTTCGTCAGCTTTCTAACACATCTTCGATCACCTCATTCTGAGATCGGACGATAGAGTTATAGTCAAAATACCCAAGACCATTTAGGCCGTTTTACGCCAGCGAGACACAATCTGTGTCTCGGAGAAAATAGAGATTTTGGCGATGATGTGGTTCTAATATGAAGAATCTTAAAACATTAAAGTTGTAGGTCTCTTTGTTATCTTTCCAAAACATCTTGAATCACCTCAATCGGAGGTCATATGAAAGAGTTAAGACTAAAATACCCGAGATAGTCCAAGCTGTCTCGGACATGTGCGAGACAGTCGAAGTGACTCGAGCCCATGTCAGCTCCCGACGTGTTTTCTGATAAGATTGGCTTCTAGAACTCCTTGGGGTCATCCATAAACATGTGGGGTTATCTTTAAACATGTGGAAGTTGTTACACAACCGAAAACCCACCTAAACGGATAATAACGGTTGTTCTTTGATCCTATCCACAAACACGTCATTCCTATCCACAAACACGACATCTAAAGCCTATAAATACACCCCTAGCACCCTCATAAAATCAGATCTGAAGGGAGCCACGAATTTCACAGGAGCTAGGGTGAGAGTGGGTCTGAAATTCGTGCTCCTTCTTGTTTGAACGATCAAGCCTGTAAAAGGTAAGATCATCTCTAACCTCCCACTGTGGTCGCCAGTTTGTTGGATGTTCAAATCATGAGACCAACTAATAAAGTTGATACATCAATGACTCGCATTTATAGAATTTTTGGCAAATTCTCAGCCATCAACGGGTTTGATAAGCCTTTACCGACTACCGTTTGAGTCGGGCTAGCATGCGAATTGTTTAAGTCCGTTCCGCATGTGACGTTATTGCTAAAAGAGTTAACACTTTTAGTGCTACGATATTGAATATGTAGACTTCGTCTTTCTCACGTGAAAAGACCAAACGGCGACGCGTATAAGGCGTAGACTTTAAGGTTTTTGGCAAACCCTCAGCCTTCAACGGATTTGACGTGCCTTTACCGATTACCGTTTGAATCGGGCTTGCATGCGGATTGTTTAAGTCTCAATCAAGGAGTTGAGTACAGAAGGCGCGCCCATTTTATCGAAGAGAGCTCGGCAAAGGCAGCGCCAACGCTGTGCGCGCCAACTCGCTAGAGCCTTGGAGTCAATTGACGGGATCCGTTATGAGGCGGATCTGAAAATTAGGCAACGTCAAGCGCCCCAACAGCGGAAAAATGCCCTCTCCTCCAAATCACCAACAAGTGAATGGGTACAAGTCAAAAGGACCCGTTCAACTCTTGAAGAGCGGATCAAAAAGCGTCGCGTACTGCTTGCGCGCGCGCGAATTCTTGCACAAGAGGTCAAAAGATTGCAGAGGGAAGAAGTGGAAAAGAAGCCACCAAAACTGCACAAAGTTTGGAGGCCAAAGTCTAAGACGGCGGCCGAAAAGATCGAAAAATGCGGGTCACTCAAATAAAGCGCCGCGCGCTTGCGCGCACGCGAATTCTTGTGCAAAAAGCACAAAAGATGCAGAAGAAGGACATAGCTAAGAAACAACCAAGACTGCATCAAACTTGGAGGCCAAAATCCAAAACGGCAGCCGAAAAGATCGAGAATCGCGGGTCACTTGAATCCGACCCGCCGGCGCGCGGGTCACTTCAATCCGACCCGCCAATTTGCAGGTCACTTCAATCCGACCCGCTAATTTGCAGGTCACTCCAATCCGACCAGCCAATTTGCAGGTCACTTGGATCCGACCTTCCAAATCGCAGGTCACTTGGATCCGCCCTTCCAAATCGCAGGTCACTTGGATCCGACCTTCCAAATCGCAGGTCACTTGGATCCGACCCTCCACTTCGCGGGTCATTTGGATCCGACCTTTCAAATCGCAGGTCACTTGGATCCGACCCTCCACTTTGCGGATCACTTGGATCCGACCCTCCACTTCGCGGGTCACTTGGATCCGACCTTCCAAATCGCGGGTCACTTGAATCCGACCCTCCAACACGTCGGTCACTTAAATCTGACCCGCGCCAGAGTCAAGGCAGAAGATGTTATGCATCTGTTTCGTCGATCCCTGTGAGTTCCGCACCTCCGACGGAGCACCGGGATAGTATGGACTTGTCCCATTTCAAGGTGAGGATAGTCGATCGCCTGGATCCTTTGCACGAGGATCGAGGTAAAGTCCTGATCGAAGAATGCTTGGGTCCGGTGACTGAACCCCGAGCGATTCGTCGAGCTGGGGGTCGCACACGCCCTCGTAACAATTTCAAGCCTTCTCATAAAGGGAAAACTCCAATTTCTACCCGCCTGGGGGTGTTTATCCAAAACCAAGAGCCTGTTGAGATCCTGCGCTCCCAAAAGCGTAGTTCTAAACACGTGACTCTTGAGAATGCTAATAAAGCGGCAACTCCCTTGAAAGAAACGTATTCATCAGACGATGACAACGTTATACCAGGGGAGTCATGTTAACACACGATAGGTTGCTCCGGTCATCTGATCGATGAGTTGTACTATCGGGCTGGGGGTATGAATGAGTCTCAGAAGAGATATGCCCGAGAAACCAAATCTCACTACCCGTACGCCGAACTAATCAGGGCAGTATTATCAGCGTGCAGTTGCCCCAAGACCGCTCCGCAGAGGGTCTCCGTATCCGAGAGGATCTCCAACGGAATGACTAAGTCCAAACCAAAACGTCTCCGTAAAAAGAGATCGGTTGTTCAAGGTGACGAACTCCCGGAAGTCACAATAAATATGGCTGATAAGGGAAAGTTGATTCGACCTTCTAGCTCTGACCCGCTTATATCTCATCGGCTAACCCGGTTGCGATCAAGGACCACTAGACGCAGAGACTACCAGAGAATGCAGAGAGGGTTATCCTCGGACGATGAAGTATCAGATGCTAACTCTGCTGTCGCTTCTGACAATACGGTATCTAGCCCGGGACAATCTCACGAAGTGTTCATGATCAACACCGAGCAGGTAGCCAAAATGGTTGAGGATGGCTTGGCCAAACAGAAAGAGGCATTCAAGATCGAAATGGAAATGGCTATGCTACGGATGAGGGAAGAACATGACCAACAAATCCGAGCTTTGTCAAATCAAATTGGCAAATCCATCCGTCGCAACACTGCTTACCAAGCAGGTAGCGATTCAGATGTAGATGAACGTCTCAATCCTGATAACCCTCCCGTTGACCAAAACACTGGGGGTGACTCCACTAAAGATAACAACGCTGGGGGTGGTTCCACCGAAGATGACAATGTCGGGGGTGGCCGTGTTATTCCTCTTTCAAATCGTCCGAGGTCCGACACGAGTGAGGATAAGAAAATGAAAGATCTCGAGAGCAAAATCAACGCTCTAATGTCTGCTCGAGAGGTGAAAAGGACCGGCATTCCATGTCCCTATCCAAGAAAATGGGATTCGATACCGTATCCGGCGAAGTTCAACCTGATTAACTTCACGCCGTTTGACGGGAAGGGTTCACCCACTCAACATCTGATCTACTTCAAGTCCCACTTGGGTATGATCTCCGGCAATGAAGCCTTGATGGTTCGGTCATTCGTTGGCACCCTTCGCGGGCCGGCCTTCGATTGGTACCGCCGTCTCAAGCCCGGAAGTATTAACAACTGGGACGATATGGAGAACTCATTCCTTGGTAACTTCTTTGATGACGACGACGAGGTATCCATCAGGACACTTTTCGATGAGAAGCAAGAAGATGACGAGATAGTCGACGACTTCGTCAAGCGCTTTCGGAATAAAGCAATGAACTGCCGAGATCCGATCACGGAGGACTTCATCCTCCAGACATGTCATAACAACCTATCTATTGAGATATTAGAAGTTATGGGAGTCGCACCGTCCAACACTTGGAAAGAGTTGAAGACGCGCGGAGAGCGGGCCGAACGCTTCCTCCGAAGGAAGAAAGCCGAGAGGAGCCAACCGACGGCGAATCTTCCGAACTCAAACTTTGCCTCCCGTGGTAAAGGAAAGGCACATTGTGCGTACCACAGGAGGATCCTCCATCCCACCAAGGATTGCTTCGCTCTCAAGAATAGCATTCAAACCTTGGTTGAAGCCGGCGTTATATCGCTCAATTGAGCCGAATGAACACTCCGACAAGTATAAGAGTATAAACTGCTTCTTAATCCTCCGACCGGTATAAGAGGTTAAACTGCTCCCTGATACTCCAATTGGTATATGAGTCTAAACTGTTTCCTACCGTTGACGGGAAGTTCCTGGAGAATTTTTATATGTAATATTCTTAAGGATAACCCGATCATGTAACCGAATGTAATGATAAACCCAGTTTCGCGAAGAAGCTGGGGGTGGATGATTCATGTAACGGGAAGTTCCCGGAAAAATACTATATGTAATTTTCTTAGGGATAACCCGATCATTACAAACAAAGTGTTAAACACTAAAGCCCCACTGTGATTTTCGAACACTCTTGTGCTGAGACGAGATTCGATCGCTTTGTTGGATCAATCTTCCCTCACAAAACTCCTATTGGTGTTTGACGACAGATCAATCT